TTTTTTTTTTTTTTTTTTTTTTTTTTTTTTTTTTTCGTGTTGGGACCCTCTTCGATCCTTGCGTGGCTGGTCCACCTGGGTAAAACAAGGTGAACTAGGCGGCCTGGCTTGTAGCCTAGGCCCTGATATAATAAAGAGCCCTTGAAAAAAAAAGGGAAAAAAAGAAAATGGGAATGGCCCTGAATGGGTGCAGTATATTGGATGAGAAGAAAGAGTTTATTCGCCACACTCTGAAAGCAACATGACGAGGTTCAAAAAAAGAAAATGTAGGTGGTGGTTGTTTTCACGAGTCTCCTCTTTTGGTGCTTGTTGGTTTCACAATTTTCCTCTTTTGGTGCTTGTTAGTGCAATAACTCGGCTCAAATCTGCATAAGCTGTGAGCTCTAGGACGTCACTTTCGGTCGAAGGCCCGAAACAGGGGCCAGAAGTCAGCCAAGGGGCAGGGCCAAAACCAGCATTCTGAGGCCCTACGAGCAACAGTTGACTTTGGGAAAGTCAACGGTATCCAGAAGAATCAGGTCCAAGTGGGACATGTGGGAAATCTGCAACTGCGCAGCATCCAGGCCATTGCCGTCCGATTCATCTGGGCCGTCGACCCCAGGAGACCAGAGGCTGGTCAACGTGAGTCAACACTATAAAGTTGACCCAGAACCTGCTTGGAGATCATGCTGCCTTGCGCTGGCTCGATGCTGGTGTGTAACGCAAGGCTGCTGGAGCAGTATGGTGGCGCCAGATGGTGGTAGTGGGCGCCAGCCTTGAGTGAGAGTATGCTGTCGCGGTGTCAGCATGTAGGCTTCTCTGATAGCCCTTCGCGTTTTAGCGACACGGTCGCTACCCGCTCGCCACTAACCACCACCCTAAAGATACTGTATTTAGGCCCTCCTTCAGTCTTGACGCCTGCCGACTGGTCGGACCGACCGGTCACCTGAACCAGTCCCGACCTTTCCCACTGACTCCCCCCTTCCTTCCATGAGGGTGTTTGTACGGAGCTCCGGGGGCCGCCTCATAATTTACATCTTCAACATGCTTGGACCCACCTGATTACGTGTTCCCAAAGAAAAACAAAACACGACAAAAAGCGTTCAGGAAAAGAGGGTTCACCAGCACCGGCTTTGGCCAGACAGGCGAATCACATACAGGGGACAGCCAGCACATACAGGGCCAGGAGCGTCTGTCGCTCGACCCCTCACCCCGACCGGTTCGAACATGGACTCGTGCCCAAGGAGACTGACTCGCTGATCAGGGGCACCCGAGCCGAGTGCTCTCGGCACGAAGTAGGGGCTCGACATGCCCTAGCTCAGAATCAAGACCAAAATCACCCTGCCAGCCAAGAGAGACGAAGTTGCATGACATCTACTCCGGAACCTGTCCGGGTACACCCAAAAGGAACAGACTCCACATGGTCCGCCACTGCGACTTCCTCTCTCTCTCTCTCTCTCTCTCTCTCTCTCTCTCTCTCTCTCTCTCTCTCTCTCTCTCTCTCTCTCTCTCTCTCTCTCTCTGTTGCATATCAGAAAGTGAAATGCACTGAAAGCCTAGGATCTAGCAATGACGAAAGTGGCAACAACCAGCAGTATAGGTGCAACATTCACAAGGTGTCAATGTGCGTGATGCAAAGAGTGAAACAACGAGAAATCAACAACAACACATTCGTATCATTATCATCATAGGCTGGGAAGCAGCGCAGCGGAAGATTTAGTATCAGAAGGACACGTGGACAGCGAAACATGAAAGGGAGAAACTTCGGAAG